CTCCCTAATTATTTGTCCAAGTATCCACTTCTTATAAGCTTCCTTTTTGTGATTTAGTTTACTGAAGAGTTTCCTACTAAGCCAAGCTGGTCTTCTGCCATACTTACTAGTCTTTCTCCACATTGGGATGATTTGTTCCTGAACTCTCAGTAAGAAGTCTTTGAAGTACAGCCAGCTCTCCTGAACTTCTCTCCCCCTCAGTCTGGCTTCCCAGGGGATCCTGCCCACGAGTACCTGAGTTAGTCGAAGTCTGTTTTTCTGAAGTCCAAGGTCCTTACTCTGCTGCTGTCCATCCTTCCTTTCCTCAGGATCCTGAACTCAATCATCTCATGGCCACTGCTGCCCAAGTTGCCATCCACGACTACATTCCCAACCAATTCTTCTTTGTTTTTGAGTAGCAGGTCAAGAAGAGCATAGCCCCTAATTGGCTGCTCCAGCACTTGCATCATTAAGTTGTCCCCAACACTCTCCAAAAACTTCCTGGATTGTACACTGCTGTATTGCTCTCTCAGATGTCAAGGTGATTGACGTCCCCCACGAGAACCAGGGCTTGTGACTGGGAAACTTCCACCAGCTGTTTGAAGAAGGCCTTATCCACCCTTCCTCCTGGTCTGGTGGTCTATAGCACACACCTACTACAACATCACCTTTGTTGCTCTCCCCTCTAACCTTAATGTAGAGACTTTCAACAGACCTATCTCCGGTTTCATACTGGAATTCTGGGCAATCAAATGGCTTTTTTACATAAAGTGCAACTCCTCCTTCTCCTCTTCTTCTTTGCCTGTCCTTCCTGAACAGTTTGTACCCGTCCATGAGTGTTCCAGTCATGCAAGCTATCCCACCAAGTTTCTGTTATTCCAATCGCATTATAGTTCCTTGACCATGCAAGTGTAACAGGGGGCAATCTTGGGGCCAGTCCAAACGTTGGCCCACCCACCTGTCTAGGGCAGTCTGCCCACCTGCCTTTCCTGCCATACCTTTGTTGTAACTAAAGTTTTTCCTAGGTCGGAGGCTGCTCATTTAATTGCCCTGATGCCAAGGGTGAAATACACTGCTCTGAACCTTCCCTTATACTGTGTCCCATGCCTCACAGTCAGCATTCAAGTCTACTAATACTCCCCTGGCCCCTTAGCTGGGCCATACTTGGTTTCTGGCCCACACTTGGCCTCAGGAGTTCTCAGACTTACCTGGGCCACATATCCCCTTTACTGGGCTCCCTCACTGAGGCTGCCTCCTTCCCTGGGGCCTTAGCCAGCCACTTCACTGGGACTCCAATACCCTGCCCCTCACTGGGGCCTCAGTACCTGGCCCCCTCACTGGGCTGCTGGGCCTAACACCTCTTGGGCCTCAGGCCTCACTCAGTGGGCCTGGGCCCAGTCTTAGGCCCCTTCTCTTGGCCTGGACCCCACCTCAGGCCCCACACAGTGGGCCTTGGCCCTGTGCTTTGCTGTTGGGTTGTGTTCCCCTAGCCTTTTCCCTCCATGGGATCACCCTCAAGGCAGTGGGGGCTGAGCCTTTCTGGCGTCCCATACTCACATTTCACTGGGGAGGCACAGGTATGGCATTTGCTGGAGACTGCCCTGCAGCAGGCAGCCCCACCACAACATCCAGCTGCAGTAGGGTGTATTTTTTAGGTCATTCTCGAGGACCAGGAACCTCCTCCATCCCCATAGTTTCTACCCTGAACCTCCAGGTGTTTTGGGAGCAGACTACTCCAGCTGGATGATGTTACTTCAGCAGCTTCCCTGCAGCATCTGCCAGTTCTGCTCTCAGGGCGTAATCATATACCCAGGCTCCCCAGCCTTGTCACCAGCCAGGCGGTCTCCTGACTACCATGTGACTGCCTGATTGCATCTGCTCCACCTGCAGGCTACTTGCTGCCTGCTCAAACCCCTTGAAGTGGCAGCACAACCTGTGCTCTGCCACAACAAGGACTTTTAATTCTTCCTGCTTATTTCTCAGGCTCCATGCATTTGTGTACAGACACCTGAGATAACTAGCTGATTGCCCTACTTTTTCAGCAAGAATGAGGAGGCCTCCTATGTTGCTCCCTTCTGCTTGTGCTTCCTCCAGGTTGCCCCCTTCCCCATTTGCCTCAGGACTTTCGTCTTCATCCCCCAGTGAACGTAGTTTAAAGCTCTCCTTGCTAGGTTAGTGAGCCTGCCTGTGAAGATGCTCTTCCCTTTCTTTGTCAGGTGAATCCCATCTCTTTTCAGCAATCCTTCTTCTTGGAAAGACATCCCATGGTAAAAGAAGCCAAATCTTTGCTGGTGACACCACCTACACAGCCAGGTGTTGATCTGCAGGATGCACCTGTTCTTCCCTGGGCCCTTTCCCTTGACCAGAAGGATCAAAGAGAACATAACCTGAGCACCAGGCCCCTCCACCCTTGTACCCAGAGCCCTGTAGTCACTCTTTATTTGTTCAGGGTCTCCCCTGGCAGTATCATTGGTGCCCACATGGATGAGCAGCATGGGGTAGTAGATTACTGAATCAGTTTCAGTAATCCCTCTGTGAAATTTTGGATCTGGGCACCAGGCAAGCAGCAGACTTCCAAAGACAACAGGTCAGTTTGGCAGATGGCTCCTTCTGACCCTCACAGAAAGGAGTCTCCAACCATCACCACCCATTGCTTCTTCTTGGTGGCTGTTGTCTCAATCCTTCCCACTTTGGTGAGGCCACCTTGGTGAGCTATATTGCTTTTGGTTCCTGAACTGTCTTATTTAGAGGTAATTTTGACCCCTTACAGCAAAGGTTGGCAGCCTATGAACTACAGGCTGGTTCCACCCCATGAAAAGGTTGCATCTAGCCCATGGCAGCCTGGGGAGATCAGGCAGAACACAGCTACACTGAGCAATCCATCCTCTCCTCAGATTCTCACTCTGCAGTCCTTTCTGTTGGTCATTTGTTCCTGTGCTTACCTGTGCTGCAGAGGGCTTGGGCATTTCATGTAAGGGTAGGCATGGGCAGCTTTGGCACCCTGGGGGTGTAGATTTGTGGTGGTAGCAGAAGGCTGGATCACAAGCTCTGGCTCACAGCTGTGAAAAATTGCCTACCACCTCCTCACAAGATAAAGAGGAACAGCACCATATAAGGCAGTCAAGGTAGACATCTATTTTGGAACTGGATGAGCAGTCACTTCTGGCTCCATCTCCTCTAAAGGGCTGTAAAATTGTAAGAATCAGGAAGATCAGTTCAGGCTGTTCCTTAGATAACGAGGTAAACATTGTCTTCAGTGTATGGACTTGGCTGGATAGTTCTTAGTGGTGAAAAGGCTTCCACACAGGGCCTGTGCTGAAGTCAAGGTGGAAGGGGCTACTGCAGGTGGTGCAGAAAGCCCCAGAGAACCAAATATGGGATTAGTGCCCATGAGCAAAAAAGGTCAGATTGGAAGTGGCCCAGGGACACAGTTAAGTGACTGAATGCTAATTCACTCAGGCTGTTTCCTGTTGCCAGATGGGGACCCCCTATTCCTGAAGCTGGATGGACCAGAGTGAGTTTTTTCCCTTGGCTGCTCCCATTTGTTCCTTGAGAGAGAGAGGCACCACAGCAAATGCACCAAGACTATAGAATTGGCTGCCTGAATCCCCAAGGGACTAGCATCATCAGAGTGTAGCTTGTCAAATATATTCCCTAACAAAGAACTATAAAGATGGCCAGGAGCCTAATGCTATGATATCTCTACCTGACATTTGAACTGTGTCTCATGTAGACATGCCATTAGTTTCAGGTGTTCACAGGGTATTTCCAGGCGATATGTGCCATTAAGAGAATCCATGACTTGTGGAGCAGATCCCTTTACCCTCTCTTGACCTAGGTAGAATGGCTGTGTGGCAGGCACATGCTTGCAGCGCTGCAGCTAGTGTGCCATGCCCACCCACTGGCTTAGCCAGTGGGTCTTCTGTGAGGCTCTGCCACCCCCACACATCACCCCTTCCCACTCAGATGGTCCAGTCTGGTCTCGGTGATGTCTGCGATGGGCTACTAGCACCATTCATTCTCCTGGCATGCCTGGCTGTGCAGTCCCCCATGGGAGTGTGATGAGGCCTTCTTGGCTGACGAATGCACAACTTAATGATAATGAAACTAAACATGCTCATGTGATGCAGGCAAGCAGGGCATCGATGCTACACGCACACAACACTTCAGCATTCTGTGTTCGGTGAGGTGTGCTTTGCTTGGTTTGCCTGGCTTCCCTTTTGTGGCTATTCCCCAGGCAGCTGGGGTTCTAGGCCTGCTGCTACCCAGCCATGTACCCCAGTATGGAAGGTCAATGGCATGCTGTCTAGAGTTGAGGCATCTCCCTGCTGATGCTAGTGTTTCTTCCTTCATAAAAAATTTCCTGCCACACCTTTGATGTTATGGGAGAAAGATGTTCAAACACTCTTGGGAGATGAGGGTTGTTATAGGCTCAAGGCGTCGATTGAACTTCACAGAGCTCCACCATCCCCATCCCCTGCACTATCTGCACCAGGTGTTTTGGGATTGTTGTTGCTTGCCTCTGAGGCCATTGTTCTGGCCTCAGTCTAAAGGACCCCTGCCCGGAGTCGTCGTCTTAGTTTGGCTGCTTGCCTTATTCTTCCCTGTATGGGTCCCAAGGCAGCTCTCTCTTATGTCTAATCCTGCCCTTATCTTCAGGGTAGGGATGGACTCCCTCCCTCCTGGGGGGTAACTGTGCCCATATCTCTATCTTCTTCAAGGTTCCTGGAGTGGTTACCTTTACACACCCCCCCAGGGCTGGACTCACTAGATGAGCAGCTTCCTTGGCTTCTGTGATGATTCTTCTTGTCTAAGAAGATCCTTCACTGGTTCTCTCCAGGTAAGTCAGAGGACTGGAACTCTCCCTTAAGCTCCAGGGTTGGTTCCCTTCTTCTGTGATCTCACCGGTCTTCTTCTTTTCTTCTCGTCTCCTCCTCTTTCCATCTGACCCTGGGTTGCCCTCCCAGCATCCCTTAAATCTCCCTTTTCCCCAGCTGGGTCCACCATGGCAGCTTCCTATTCACTGGCTGCTTGACCCAGCTGTTTCTTCTTTCTCTCTTTGGTGCAGTTTCTTTCTTTTCCCCTTGGCCGTGCTGGTTTCCTCCCTCCAGCAGACCAGCCACCTGGATGCCAGCACTGTGGTAAGTGTCATGGGCCTGTCACAGGCTGGCTTGGTATTGTGGTTGGCTTGAGCGCACACTGGGGTAAACGCATTTCAGTGGGAAGATGTTGCTTGGCACTAGCTAGGCTTTGGCTCACAGTGTCTTGGAACCAAATGGAACATAATTCTTGGAACCATTTAATGGGTGCATTTCCTTTTTTGCTCTATTGGTTGAATACAGGAAAACAGCTGACTTGTGAAACAGAAACCTTTAGTTTAAAAGAAAGACACTCCTTTCCTGTAAATGGGTAACTGAATTTTTTCTGCATCACATGTTATGTGTATATGAACGTAGTCAAAGAAAGTGAAAGAAATTCAAGGAGGAATGTCTGTTATGCATCAGTAATTCTAAACTTACTTAAACTAATTTATAAGGTTTCCACCCCCTATTGTTTACAGGGTACCCATTCAAGGACTATTAAAGGTCATGAGGACACAGAAATCAATCTTTTTGTGTTGATTTACTTAGTGCAGAACATGAAAATTAAGTTTCAGTTTCGAGACCTCTCCCTCCAAGAGTCAGTATAAGTAGCAAGTGCTAGAACGAATCAAGCATTGCAGGCTTTGAATGCAATAACTTCATCTGCACTCGGCTTTGTAGAGGTACACAGCATGGCAGACCCAAAAAAGTGCTCGGCTGACTCTTCAGTGTAAGTTATTTCGTTGTAGTGTAAACTTGGCAACATTATGAGAAATTGTAAAATTAAGTCATACATAAAGATTTTGTTTAAATATTCTGTGTCTAATTTTACTGTATTATTTTAAAATTAATGAGATAATTTTTATACATTCCTCCTTAAACCCTTTTTTAACTTTCCTTTGCTAGTCTTAAAACTATGCTGTGAACATATGAAATGTTCGGTCAGTGAGTTACTATGACAGTGCTGAATGCTCTGCCTCCACTTATCTCAATTTATTAATATTTTGTATTAAGAAATGCTGCACAGGGAGGTTGTATATACTCTAGCATGGCAGTGCAGGCTGAAAAATAAAAAAAAATAACTTTCTCTTACTTAGATCATCCCAGTAGGAAATATACTATTTTTAGATTAATATTTGTAACTACACTGGCAAGATGTTGTGTGTCCTGAGGCCACTAGATTGATCCTTCTTTATTAGGGGACAGGTGAGAAGGATTAGGCTACCCTCCATGTATGTTACTTAAATTTCTATGATTTTCAACCCCTTCTCTGTCATACTCCACATATATCAGTACTTGTATTTTAAATCCCTTCTTTCTTTTGTGATCAGAACAATGCCTGTTTCCTGATCTGTAGAGATAAATTCTCAGAAGTTTTTCAGTTGAACATAATGTCCTGGAAAAATCCATTCAATTCCAGGCTAGGAGTGAAGTCCTGGCTAAGTCAGTGGCACAACTCCTGCTGACAAGATTGATGCTAGGGTTTTACACAGCACTCTTAACAGAGATGACCTGAAGAGCTTAACCTAGGTTTAAGACTTAATCTTTAACAATGGAATAGGATAACCTGGGATATAGTCTCAAGTAGGTACTAAACACTGTCGGTTACATCTAGGTCATCTGTTAATTTTTTTTTCCTTTCCACTGCATCATAGTGTTTTTCTCTGCTGGGGGAGGTAGTTAGCCATGTTAGTCTGAAGACAGGCAGAAGTCAGGGTAGTTTAGAAACTCAGACTGACTAAATCTGAGATGCATAGCCGACACTTTTGTAAGCAGTGGTGTACCTCATCGGGTGCTGTGAAGGAAGTGTAGGAAGTAGAACTTCTAAATAGAAAGTATTGTTTAGACTACAAAGGTTACGGAAGGGGGAGCAAAAAGGAAGGTGGACTGCTGGCAGAGGCAAGCTGAGTAGGGAGAGAAAAAAACAAGGCAGTAAATCCACTCAGGGACATAAGTGTTATAAAACCTAATTCAGGTAAAGGGGAAATGCTCTGTAGTCTGGAATTAGACCATATTTAACAGAATCCTGTCGGTGGATGATTTCTTGTTCTGCAATTTCCAATTCATTTTTATAGTTTTGTTGTCTAAGAATAGCCACTGATGTTAGTGATGGAATGTCCAGGGAGGTTAAAGTGATCTGCCACGGGCTTGTTTGTCATTCTGGAACTGATGTCAGATCAGTGTCCATTCATTCTTTCATGTGGGTATCTCCTTGTCTGTCCAATGCAGACAGCAAAGGGGCACTGTAAACAGGTGATGGCATATATGACATTAGTAGAGGTGCAGGTAAATGAATCTGGGATGTTATAATCCATGTGGTTTGGTCCAGTGATGATGTGGCCTGTGTTGATAAAGGGGCACAGAGCTTCCTGTAAGGCAGGACAGGTTTGTCCTCCATAGCTACCTTGAGATTTCGGAGGAGGGGTTGGAGGTCATTAATCTAAGCTGTTGCTGCCATGTTAGCTTGAGGTTTGTGCCTAAATTGATTGTGAACCTTTTGGCAGGGGGCAAGGATAGAAGTTGGACTACTGCTGCTGCTCATACAGCTAATGTTAGGGGTTTGAACAATTTATCAGATCTTAATTGAATCATTCTGTGCCGCTAATCCAACCTCTGTACTTTGAATGTTATTTTGGAGTGTAGTTGCTGTCTTTTGACCTAGGCTGCCTGGAGCAGAGTGATTCAAATGTACTAAGACAAAGTAAGTGTTGCAGTGAAGAAGAGTTCTTTGTGTCATATGGGTCCTTTGGCACAGACATGAATGGCTTGCCCAAAGCCTAATAATAGCCCGCTATCCCAATTTTATATGTCACTATAATCAGAAGGGAAAACACTATTTGATGCAGATGAAAATCTATAAAATCCTCTCTATTTTTGGTAAAGATTAACTAGGTTACAATGAGTTAATTCATGGATAGAGGAAAATATTTCTGGTTCGGGGAGACTAAGAGAACAAATCCCCGGGTGTCTAATCTTTTTCTACTTTGCCATATTTTTTGGGAAACCATGCCTACGTATGCAGTACTGTCACATAGTGTGAAGCCATTAGAAACCTAGAAAACAATTTCAGAGCACAAAGGTGCAATTCGTGGGGAAGATATTGTATCATTGGAAGTGATGCATGTTGAAGAAAGTGATGCAACATCAGATTTCAGGCAGTCAGTTGATAATACCAAATTACAGGCATTCAGTTGACATTAATCCCAGGGTGTCAATAGATACATACCTTACACGCAGTTTTTCTACATGTCTGGACTGCTAAAGGAATCATTGTAGAGGGTAAATGTTTCCATTTCTAAGGGCAGGTCTTGGATTCTGTAAATTACCTTTCTATGGACACCCCTACACAAGATGTTTACTGTGCAGTTGACTAATTAACTGTGCAGTAAACATCTCAGCATCTACATATGCACCCATTAGTGTGCACAAAACTAATAAACTCCACAGCAGGGTAGTACTTGTAAATACAAGTACTACCCTGTTGCAGAGTTTTTTGTGCCTGGCAGCGCACATGTAGATGCTGCCCAGATGGCTGGGGCATGAGGGTGCTTTACTGCAGGGGCTGCCTGCTGGCTAGCCCCATGCTGAAGCACTCTTGGGTGTGTGTAGATGAAACGGGGGCTGTGAACTGAAGCGGTGGATTTTAAAAAACACAGCTTCAATTTAGGGCCGATTAAACCCCCTTGTTGTGCACACACCCTGCTGACTTATTTGCCTCTCCGGCGGAGAGGGGAGAAGAGCTGCTGGTCGGTGGAGCAATCCCTGGGCTGCAGGGGTGGTAGGGGAGGTGGAGGGGGGAGGGCTGGTGCTTCTCCCCGCAGCAGCCCCTCCAGGTGGCACCTGTCCACAGGCACCTGGCTCAGGCGGTCCCAGGGGACACCGCAAGTGTAGAGGGAAGCACCGGGCCCCGGCACACCTCAGGCAGGGAGGCAGGCTCCAGGGCAGGGAGAAAAAAAATCAGGCTCCTCGCTTTTCTTGGGTGGAGCCTGTTTTCCCAGGCTGCTGCCAAGCTGTCTGCAGGGCTTCCTGCAGAGCTGAGGAGCTGCATGTAGTCCAGTACTTACCTCTGCAGCTGTAGGGGCAGCAAACTAAAACTCCTTTCAGTCATATAAGGTGCTTTACACTGCTGAATTTCGTACAGTGCCTGGAATTAATGCGCAATACGCCACTGAGGTGTGTGAACACCACCACCATTAAAAGCAATGCAAAATCATTTAGCCCACTTTAAAGTGTTGTTGTGCACACACGCCCCTTGTTTCATCTACACACGGCCCTTGTGCCCCATCCAGCCTCTCTGCAGCACATTTGACCTGGTTAGAGCAGCCCTGGGCTGGCAGGCTGCCCCCTGGGCCCCCCCTGCCAGCCTCGGCTGCTGTGACCTGGCTCAGTATACTGCAGTCTAGGTGCATGTGCAGCTGTGTGCTCAGGAGTTTCCAATAAATTCTGCAGTTTATTGCTGCCCCCTAATGGCATGTGTAGATGCACCCTGTGTGTAAGAAACAGCCTGTCCACTACTTACAATATAGAGTTTCTGGATTGGGGTATATGAATGCAGCATTTTAGGTATATTCACTGGATTTTGAGATATCTGGGAATATTATATACTTGCTGAGTTATTCTTCCCCCCTTTTTATATGATTTCTAGTTATGGTTTCTGTATACTGGGAACTAGAAGCTTAGCTGGTATAAATCAGCATATGTACACTGAAATCTGTGGTGCTGGGGATCTATCCTATACTTTGGTACCAATTGGCACTACATGGTAGAATCTGAGGGTATAGACAGCTATTACATTTGTAGCACTATTAAAGTCCTTGTATGTTTACGTTTTGTAGCACCACTAGTGTGCTACAAATAGCCTGAGCTCTACAGAATAGTACCCCTTTGAAACAGAAACTTCTCTGTAGTGCCACATGTAACAGCTGTTTAGTTGCATGTAGTGCTACAAGAGTCTCTAGGACTCCCAACATCCCAGAGTCCTTTGTTTTCCCTTCCTTCTTCCAAGGGAGATGGAGAGAGGGAGCAAGGCTGGCTCCCTGCTAGGCAGCAGTGCTGTAAGGGAACCCTGATAAGACTTGGCTACCACTGCTGCAGTTGTTAGAGTCCCAGGTTCTGCCAGAGCCAAGATTCCTTCCACAAGCCAGTGGGAGAGTGGCTGGCCCCGTGGCTGGGGGGGGGGGGGGGGGTATGGGGGCTGCCCCTGTGGCTGTGGCAGTGGTGGCATCATGGGTGCCAGAGCCCAAATTCCTGCCACTGCTGCCAGAACTCCAGTGAGAATTGGGAGTCTTGAGCCAAAATCCACAATGGTTCACGAAGAGCTAGCTATTTTTAGTACAGGCAGGAGGTTGCAATAGCTTGTCATGGAAACATCTGCAGGATTTAAATGGGAGAAGGCAGCCCCATCAGCAGTTTTGGAAATGATGTTTGGATGGGCTCAACAATACTTATTAAGCCTTTAGACAATCAACCCACTGGTAGATCATTAGTTACCAGTGCTGGATATGATGACACGAGACCTAAAGTCATGTGTAAATCAGATAACCCCACTTGGGTACGTCCAAACGAGTGAGCACATGCCTGATACAATATCTCAAAGCAGTTTGAGATTGTGCAAGAGGCATGCTGGGAATAAAAAACTGTTCAGTGCGCTGGGGCAAATAGGACTGGAGCAAGGTTGCAGCAGTGTCTTGAACTCAGGCTCTGTCCCTGGTAAGTAGGGATGTGGGGGTGGGGGGACTGTAGGTGAGTGGGGTGGGGGTTGTAGATGTGGAAGGACTGTATGTGTGGGAGAGGGGGGACTGCTTGGGTGGGGTGGGTCCCCTGCCTACCCCTCTGCATGGCGCACAGCCCACCCACAGCAGCAGCAGAGGCTGTGGGGCACTCAGGGCCTGCTACTGGCAGAATCCCCCCATGTCATGGCACAGCTTCAGCTGCCTGGGACCCAGTGCTACCTGTGCCACATGGTGTGGGCCAGGCCTGGCCTGGCCCGGGGGTGTGCACCTTCAGGCAGAACTGGGCCACTCTTGCTGTTACCCAGGGTCCTGGCACTGCATGCAAGAGCCACACATTGGGCCAGTCCAGGTGCTGCCTTCAAGTGCTCCACATGCCATCAGACTGGGCCAGCTCCATGGAGACAGGATCTGGCCTAGCCTGACATGTGGCCGCTATGTGCAGTGCCAGGGGCTCCGGGTAACAGCAAGTGCAGCTCAGTCCTGCCCGAAGGCACACACCTCTGAGCTGGGCCCACACCATGTGGCACAGGCGGTGCTGAGTCCCAAGCAGCCAGGGCTGCACTGTGCCCGGGGCGGGACTCTGCCAGCAATGGGCCCTGGGCACCCCATGGCCACTGTTGCTGCTGGGGGGGAGATATGCATTGTGCTGGGAGGTGAGCAGGGGACCCACCCCTCCTGAGCAGTCCCCCCACACATGCAGTCCTCCCCATACCCACAACCCCCCCCACAAGCCACTCACAAACTCCACACCTTCAAACCACCCCCATGAACCACCCACCCACATGTCCAGCCTCAAACTCCACACCACTCCAAACCTCTGCACAAGCCCCAAACCGCCCATAAACCTCACCCCTACAAACCCTACACCCACCCACAAACCCTCCCAAACTTCCCATATAAACCTCTTCTCCACCCCAAACCCCACATCCCCCACACAAATCTCACACCCTGAGTGGCCAGCCAGCCAAATAGGATGGGATGGGACCTGATGGCAGGAGCTGTGGCTCCAGGGGCAACTGCCATACTGCAGCCCTGCCCTGTACCCACATCAGTGCTGGGACATGCGGCCCCAACCAGGAGTGGCTCCTGGTCCCAGGTGCCACTTGGATGTTTGATGGGCTGGAGGGAGGGGTGGAGGTGGCAGCAGGGGTGAGAGAGAGAGACAGAGAGATGGGGGTTGGAGGTGGGGAAGTGCTTCAGTTAGGAGAGGCTGCCAGAGCCAGGCTTAGAGTTCCCCTGTGCCCCTAGAGCAGCTTGTGCAAGGGGAGGCCAGCCTGGAAGGGAAGGGGCTTGCCCAGCCCAGTCACTGTTCAAGGGCTGGCATTGGTCAGAGCCACAAAGTAGCAGGTGGGACAGCTGCAGCTGGACCCATGTCCTTGTGCTGGAACAGAGCTGCTTCTGGGACGGAGCTAGTGGGGGTAGGCAGGGGCTGCAGGTCAGGAGTGAGGGGCACTGTGGGGGTTATGGGTTGGGAGGGAGGGGCAAGGGCAGGGGCAGGGAACTGGCATGCCAGTGCTGCTCAGTGCCTCACATCCTGGTGAGCGAGGGGGTAAGGGCAGCTCTGATTTTTCTATGATAAAAACCCCCCCCCAAAACAAATGCCAAAGTGTATAGATACTTACAATTCATTTATTATGATGATAGAGACACTGGTAGGCTTTCAATTTGCTTTGAAATTGTAAATATATCAGTAAAACACTGCTTAATTTATCTCTCTACATATGGTGGTATTTCATTTTAATCATGGAAGAACATGGATTGTGGGTATTTTTAATGACAGAATTTGGGATTTTTTTATCAGGGAATTTGCTATTTTAAAACAGGGAATACCACGATATCTGCTAGTGAAGCAAGTAGTGAGACCCAGGCAGAGGAGCCTGCCCAGGGCCAGCGCCAGGGACCCAGCTGGAGGGCAGATGAGGTGGCGGACTTGGCCCTTTGGGGCCAAGAGGACACACTTCGACAATTCATAGCTGCCCACTGCAGCAAGCACATCTTCTGGGCAATAGTTGCCCAGATGGCAGGGTGGGGGCACCAGAAGATATGACAGCAGTACTGCACAAAGGCCAACTGTGCAGACATGGCCCGCTGGCAGCTTGCCTAGAGGTGCAGAAGGCTCTGCTACAGTGCCTATACCACAGCCCAGGTGGCCATGCAATCCCAGTCTGGGTCTAGCAGGCATTCAGCCAAGGGGCCACAGGTACAAGGGAACAGATGCTGTCACAGGTGGTAGCAGATCACAGCTAGGCAGCAGCCCGCACTGCCAGACTGCTGCAATGGATAGAGGGTGCAGGGGCCACTCTAGATTAGTTTCCCCAGATACCAACTGGCTGGGCCTCAGAAGCTCCTGAGGGCAAGTAGCCCTGAGCTGCTTGACAGGGCAGCTTTTTATACTGCCTCTAGCTCCCCCTGGCTGAAAATCTGGGAGGAGCTGGGAAGGGTCAGTTTGCCCCAAGTGGCACAATTTGCCCCACACCGAAGTGCACGTTCAGGCATGTGTGCTAAGGCAAAAATCTCCAGCACAAATATGTGCTGCTGCTTTTTGAGCTGCTGCAGGTGCACGTGTCTGCATGTGTGGATGCACCTCTTGGAGCCAGACCTACACCTCCACAGGTATCAGGGCAATGAATAACGCGGTCCTATTTTTCACTCCTGTTGCCTATGGGGCTTTGCACTGCTGCAGAATTGATGAGGTCTTGATTTGCTTCCTCTGGTTTGTCCATCCTAGGCCCAAGCAGAGCATTAGTTTTTAATTTTTGTTTAATGCCATGGACAAAACAAATGTTGCTACCCTCATAGTGTCAAACTTCAGCTTCTGGAATAAGGTGATTAACTATAAATGGAGACTTTCAGGAAAAAGAATGCTAGTTTCTAGCTCTTGCATTTTCCTGACAATGTGAATCTTAAAGGCCACCTGAACAGGGAGCAAATAAAAATAATAAAATAAAAACTATCACATTAATTATTATTTAACTGTTATGAGTTTTGGGGGCCTGGGTCATGATTTTTAAAAGATTAGGATTAGCAACATTTCATTGGGAAGGGGCAGGATACAATTACCAGTTTCCTGGTCTTGTTATAACCCTTTCTGTTTTTAAAATTACTTTTTACCAAAATAAAGTGCTGGACCTACAAAAACTGGCAGTGTCAAACATAAATCTCATTTCGCTGTGGTCTGTCTTCTTTTGCAGGGATTTGAATGCAACATCTAACCTCAAGAATGCATCTAAGGGAAATGAGGAGGCTGAAGAGGAATGGGGGCCCCAGGTGAGTGCATCCTACTGAAGTAGATGCTCATTGGGAGTAAGACTAGGCTTAAAAACTTTACTGAAGATTTCAAGGTGTGCAGCTAATGGCTAATCAAAGAAGCCCTTTTCTATGCACAGGTGCACTTTTATGTCTTAAAATCAGTTTATAACCCCCTGTTTGGACTCTTGAATCAAGTGAAACCTGATTTACATTGATTGTAGTTTAATGCAGTAAGGAACTGATATATGATTCCTTAAAGGGCATAGCGGTAAATCTCTTCCCATTGCATGCTGGGAGCAGCAGGAAGAATTTTACCTCAGGAAATGAAATTCCTTTTGAAGACCTCCCCTGAGACAGTCAGCACTACGCAGTGCTCAAAGAAACCAGGTGCAATTTGCTCAATATAACTCTTAGACTATAGGCCCAACATCCATAATGGGTCTTAGGCTGTGACACTGATTTGCAGCATCTAACATTTAGGTGTCTATCTCCCATAACAGAATCTGCAGCTCACAATTTGGTACAATAGTTTCATCGTTTCATAGTTGGTAGGGTTGGAAGGGACCTGAGCAGATCATCAAGTCCGACCCACTGCCATGGCAAGAAAGAGTGCTGGGGTCAAATGACGCTGGCTAGGTGTTCATCCAGCCTCCTTTTAAAGACCCCCAGGGTAGGAGCCAGCACCACTTCTCTTGGAAGTTGGTTCCAGATCCTAGCTGCCCTGACAGTGAAGTAGCACCTCCTGATGTCTAGTCTGAATCTACCCTCTGCCAGCTTGTGACCATTATTTCTAGTCACTCTTGGTAGCGCTCGGGGGAACAGGGACTCCCCCAATGCCTGCTGGTCCCCTCTGACCGGTTTGTAAACA